TTTAGCAGGGCCTGTTGTGACAGGACAAGGGGTAATGGTTTTAAACCAAAAGAGGGTAGATTTAGACTGGATCTAAGGAGGATATTTTTCACAATGAGTGTGGTAAAACACAGGCACAGGTTGCCCAGAGAGGTGGTAGATGCCCCACCCCTGGAAACATTCGAGGTCAGGTTGGATGGGGCTCTGAGCAACCTGATCTAGTTGAAGATGTCCCTGTTTGTTGTGGGGGAGCAGGACTAGATGACCTTTGAAGATCCCTTCAAACCCAAAGATTCTATGATTGTATGAAATAAGGGATATATCCTTATTGAAAACACTAGTTCTATATGACTCAAAGCACAGATAATGTCTCTTGTACTACTTAAGGTCCAGGCTAACAGTGGTCATGTGTGAGTAGATTTGAACTAAGCATATCTTTGTTTTATTCTGTTAAATATTTAAAACCAAGGATGTCATAACTGGAACTAACAGCAAACCTCAGAACAGGGGTACCATTAGGAAAAAGCTTAAGCAGATTCACAATTGAAAAAAACATACAACTATACAGTTGATTTTAATAAAAACATTGAAGTAGTGCTAAGCCCAGAAAGCAACTCTTGAAGACTTCAAAATTCTTAACAGCAATAGAAACTCCCTGCCCCCCATCTGCCTTATGCTTGTACAGCACACTGTATGGATCAATAGCACCACTTCTGCGTGCCCCTGAGATCTAGACCATCTAACTGTTAAGTAACTAGTTGAATGACAAAAGGACCCTAAATCCAGGTACTGAGCATTTATTTTGGAAAAAATTAGAGGTGTACTACCTGAGGATAAGATACCCTGAGTTCTCCTTTGAGAAGAGATTTGCATTTTAGCCATCAGATGTGTCTGGGACTTAATTTAAGTTAGCCTCACAGTAGCATTTACATGTGTAGCTGAATTCTTTGAGAAGGCAGCTTTTAAAATAAACATGATGATCTCTAAACTTAATGTAGTTTTTATATATTATTACCCCTGCAGGTATTCACATCTTAATGTGGCACTAGTGCTCATCTCACTAATAAAACATAAAGCAGCACTTGACAAGGACTCAGCTGTCTTGTTTCTTGTCTATAGCATAATAAAAGTAGTAAACAAAGTATTTTGACTGTTTCAGTTCACTACAAGCATATTATACATATCTACACTACCTAGAAAAATACCTAAAGCAGGTGAACTATTTTTTTCTGGTCATGTAACTAGGAATTCAGAGCTTATTCTTGCAGGTCAGTATTTAAGTGTATGTTGAGTGTATGTTTCATTAAGGACAGCTTCTAGTATTCTAACACACATAGTTTTCATAGATTGAAGACCAAGTCTCCAAAGACTGTTACCTAAAATGAAATATTGGTATGTTATAGCATCCTAGTCTTGGGACCTATAAAAGTAATTCTTCAATCCAGTTCTAATATGCTGCAATTGCACTGCAGAGAATGTTTATCCTGGTTCATCAAGAACAGCAGCATTTCTTGATTGGTGGGTTATGGTGCTATACTTACTAGTAGTTGAGCAAGATCTGCATGTGCAACTTCTAATCTGCGCTGGCAGTCTGGGATCATCATTCGTGACTCTTGTAAGATCTCGATCTGTGAAAATTAGAAGCCAGTGAAATGAGCATGTATTACAGATAATAACATTTTTTTTTAAGATAAGTCTTTACTCTGAAAAATCAGTAGTCCAGTCATCATCTAAGAAATAGTTGTACCTATTTTTTGAACAGGCTTTTTTATTAAAAGACAGACACTCACTCAACATAATTGCCTAAAAGTCTGTTAATTTACAGGACATTTGCATTTACTTTTAAATATAAAGTATTAAGTGCAAAAGAGTGTTCAAACTAATTTTTTCTTTAGAAAAAAGGTACTGCCTAGTAAGCTTTCCATATAGCATTTGTTAAAAAGGCTATTTAAAACAAACTCTCCTGCTGTCATGAAGCAGCTTCATCCAAAATGGGATCAGCTGGTTATATAAATATCTCCTGCATCTTTTGGGTAATAAAGAAAAACAGTGTTCAGATAATACCACATAGAGATAATTACTGCATGAAAAAAGTTATTGAGTTATTGATCACATTGTGTGCACGCTGTAGGAGGCTCTAACTGAAAGACAAAGGTAAAGAAAAATGAAAAGCAAAGACCAGCAGGCTCATATTTTTGATGCTTATCATGCATAAAAAGTTATTACTTATCCTTGTGCTTCATTTTAGGAGGAAGATTATTCTCACCATGCACTTTGAACAAAATTACTAAACTGGCACCCCACTGAATCTGAACATCCTGCCTCCTCCTACAGAAAACAGCTTCAGATTTAAACACGGGGACATTTATTTCATGGAGCATTTCTGGATCTGAAATCCAACCACTGAGAAGAAAAAGTGTGGAGAGTTGTTCAGTAATGTTAAATCTATTTAGAAATGAAAATCTGTTAGACATTTAAATATGAAACCTCTTTTGCATTCAGGATAATCTATAACAGAAGGTACTCCCTTTAAATGGCTTACTTCATTCTGTCATTTCAATGTTGCTCTCCTTTCAGTATTAATGCTGCTGTACCAAAAGGTTATTGTAAAAGGGAAGATAAGCTATAGCTAAGAATGTATTTATGCATACAGGAAGGCCTTATGTAGTAAGACATCACCATGTTTTTAAGTATCATATATGTAAGTAAGTTCTTAGTTTAAGTAATTTTTGAGAGAAAATGTTTAAAAACTTTGTTTCTAATTTTCTTTCAGAGAACCTAGGGCACAACCTGTCTACTTTAATGAAACAAAGATGGGTGACAAATGTTTTAAAAAAAAAAAAAGTTAAGCACCTCCAAGTTCTAGTTCTCATTAGCCTTATCACTTTTCTTTTAAGCATTCAGTGTTGGTCTGTATTAAAATAAGACTAGGAACTCTACATATTACACTTCCAGCAGTGAATGAATGAATAAGGTTTGTAACTAACTTCCACAGAATGAGGTGTGCCATAAACTGCATGAGATGATGCCTTCTGCTTTATGTAGTAGAAATTTGTTCTAAAAAGAATACCCAAGGAGTGAGAATACCCAGTAATGATTTCCTTGGGCCAGCATTGCTACATAGTTGTGTATTGTAAAAGTCATAACTAATGTGATACATGCCACTCAATAAGCAATCTGGGAAGGCATATAAATCTAGAATCTGTAAGCTGTAATCCTGGCTGCTGTAAGAAAAGAACAAAACTATTCCAGTCACTCTGTTCAAAAGAGAATTTGACTGAGATCCAAAGGGGTACCTGAGTTTTATTTACATTTGCCTGCAGTTATGCAATAATAAATAAAAACCAGAAGGATTATAAATCTTGGAACTATATTCAGTAGGTGCAAACAGTTGGAGACTGAATTTTGTGGAAACAATATTGTTAGATGATTACCAAACTACCTATGCAAACATCAGTAACTTCTGCCTAAACCACATTTTTTCAAGTAATGCTGATAATCTCAGATAGACCACTTACTGTTAAATTGTACATAATAAAGCAAAGTCAAAAGCTCAAATAATTAGGTAAGCTTTAGGACTGAATTTTTAAAGTGTTTGCTCTCCCAATTCTATCAAAATTCTATCAAATGTTCTGACTGAACTCCAAGGAGCTTAAATTATAAGCAGGTCACAGAGGAAGTTATTACATGAAACTGATCTAACTTTGCAAAAAACCATAAATATCTTGCAAGGTTTCTGTGAATTACAATGCCAAACAGAAATATTAAAAAACCGGAGTAACTGAAGTGCATCTAAATACAGTGTTAGGACAAAAGCAGTAAAGTACAAAAACATGTACAGGGAGAGAACCAAACTGAATTTGTTGTCAATAAGTGCACATGGGACCAAAAGAGCTGTTGTGGCTATAGTGAGGATGACATCCCCTTTCCTTCAAGTGTACTGAAAAAGCCAGTTAAAACAAATCTCTTCCACCTGCCACATTTCTAGTCAGTTGTCTTTCAGGATTGAAGATACTTCTACTAAGGGAGCAGATGTCTGGCATCTTTCAAAAGAAAGCAGTTTCCTCAGAGGTGGTGGAGCTCTCTAACTGTTGGGGTATATATTGCCTATTTACTAAGCATGATGTGGATTTTTTGTAGATTGGATCAGATGTCAAAGAACTGGTGTGCATAATGCAGTATTAGTAGCCTTCAATCTGTTTTCCCTAAATTCTAGATTGCAGTGACAGGTAAAGCAGAACAGATGCAAACACACAGATCCACCTACCAGTTGCTTTAAGTGAAAGGGAGCCATAACTGAAATCAGTCCATTACTTTACATATTCAAAATAAGCACAAAGGCCAAACACCATTCTGTACGAAACAGCTGAGGAGGTAATGCCCAAGGCTTTAAACATAAGCAACTTATTTTTGAGCATGTCCCACAATGAAAGTTCAAAGCTACTATTTCAACTTTAAGCAGATCAGAGATGCTTACATGAGGCAGTTTTTCTACTTCTTGGATCATCAAAGCACTTACTCTGAAACAATTTTTTGACCATTTAAGAATACAGATAAATATTACTGTATATGAGTGTTGATACAAAGTACTCTGCAACAGGAAGCAATTTTGCTCAGCCTGACAATGGGGACAACAGTTTTATCAGCTTCAAAAAGATGGAAGCAGAGTTTGTTTGCTTGTTTGTTTTTCGAGCTGACCCACACCTAACCAAGAGATTTAGAGATGCACAGATCCATAAATAATTTGAAAACAGTAACAAGAAAACCTCCACAGTGCTCTCTGTCTTTCCTTGATCATAGGAGGACAGCCTAATAAACTACTGGGTCACAGGGTACAGAGACAATATTGCTTTATATGACAGGACTAGTGTCCTAAACACAAGAGATAGGCTAAAAAACATGGTAAATGTGAATGAGTCATATATGTTCCAATTATATACACACACGAATATATATTCATGTTCTTAGATACTGTCTCATAATCACTTGCCCTTTGACAGTTGCACAGATATCATAATAGTACGGCTCTACTCAAAGATGGTAGGGTGGAAAAGAAAAAGACATGGAAATAATTCAGTTTGATAAGAAAAGTGCTACTGGTTTGAACTACTTCTCATCAGAAGATTTGTAAAACACTTGGAATCCATTGACTAATTACAGCCATATCTGATGGAAGGACAGAGACACAAAAGAAAAAAGGCCATCTCTAAGTATCATGAACACCAGCAGTTCCAAAATTAATCATCCTACTAAGGAAGAGATTGTAGCACAAAGTAAATAGTCATGCCAAGGCTACTGGTTGGCTATTCAACATATTTGTAACTTAAATCCACAGCATGGTATTACTTCTTGCCTCACTGGTAACCAGGGAATATAAAGGCACAATGTGCTGGGCCAGGATGGTGGCACGGGGACATAAGGACAGCATAGGTGATGTAGGAGAAAGCTTGGCATAGGGAAGGCGGGAACTCAGTGGAGATATGGTATTAAGGTGAATACAGAGGGGGAAAAAAACCCAAAGACACATAAAACTTGGTTTCCTACAGTTTTTCCATGGTTCTACTTCCTTTGAAGCAACTTGTTTTATTTTCACATAAGCAGGCCTGGAAGAAGCTTGAGCTATCCACAAATACAGCATGCAAGAGAACACTGCCGTCCGTTGCAGGTGAGTTGTCAAACACACTGATCAAAACACTTCTGAAAGACCATGAAGAAAACCTTGCAGTAAAGAATTGGAGAACACTGATTTGTTTCTATAGTGCTTGAGTGTTTCAAGAACGGAAATGGTTGTGTATCAACCACAAACTACCTACCTCTTGTAGCAGGAAAGCTAGAGGAGGAGAAAACCCTCTAGAATCTAATGCCTCAGTATTTCAAATGAGCTTTCTCTGCAGCTCCTCTCAGGTGACGATTAATCCTGTTTCTTCTAGACCAGATCACTTTAGGACATAAAAGGCAGAAGGGTTCCTTTGGTCTTTTTGGAAAACAGTTTGTTACTGGCTGTTTCTAGTAATGTACAACTGTCAGGTTTTCTTCACTGTCAGCAGCAGGGGGTGGAGGGAACACATGACTTGAAGCTAGAAAATGGAGATACTTTTCAGAGGACAGAAGCAAAACTCCATGTCCTCCACTGAAAAAGTTTTTAATTAAATATGTTGTACCATAAGTTACAGATATTGCTCCTTTCAAGTTAACTTAGAAGATAATTGAGTTATCCATTACAGAAGGTTGTAATTTAATCAGCAGGCAGCACTTTTCCTTCCAGCAACTCAAAATTCTACCTGAACAGATCAATGTTGATGCAAGTATAAACCTCACCCTGTAAACAGGTGAGAGGTGGTAAACATCTGAGTGAAGAGGTTTCTTTGGGAGTAGCTTAAAGAAAACACTGACAAAAGAAAGACTTGCTTTCCCAACAAGAATGGCTCAACCTTATTAGAACAAATAGTCAAATTTTCTCTCTGAACTCTCCCCTGCCCCACACCAACTTTTTATTGGGGAGGTTAGGCTTGGGGGAGAGGTTGAGAGGGTTAGGGTTTGTTGGGGTGTTTTTTTTGTGGTGGGGGGGGGGGGGCGGGGTTTGGTTGTTTGTTGAGGTAAGATACAGATCCTGAATCTGTGCTTAATGTAATGCATGCTTTGCTAAAAGGTAGCAGACTGGTTAGGAGATGTTTTAGAATATGCTTGAAGGTTTGGGAGGGATCCCCCATCTGCTTTATGGAGGTGAAATACCTGGGGAAATATATGTGCTAAAATGGGAAGCAGAACAGACATGGGAAGTTCCCTAGATAGACAGAAAGTAGAGAAGTTAAGTCCAGATTTTTTTCCTCCCTCCAGAGGACAGGAAAAGTGAGCCTCAACTGAAGAAAAGAATCATGACCCATCTTGGTGGCAGGACTTTTCTGCCATAGGAGTGTTGCCATACCAACTTATTCCACATACTGCATGAGTGCCTTTAATCTTCAGCAAAAAGTCTGGAATCCAAAAGGTACTTACACCTCCCTGATAAAAAGGAAGAGAGTCTTCCGAAAACAGAAAGGAAAAAGGAAGATCACAGTAATTATTTTTTCATCATTTGGTCTCTTCCAGAAAGCACATTAGTCAACAAAAACAAAGTTTGACAGCATTTTTAATACCAGATATATGTTAAGAATACTTAGTACAGAGAATTCAAAATTGCTAGCTTTTAAGGAAACAAACTGTGGTTGTTAAGGATGCTGTCCAAATAGGTAAGGGGGTAGCATTAGACTCTTCATTAGCATTTCTACTGCCTCTTTACCTAAGCAACTAGAGCTAGAGTTCAGATTATGAAGCAAAGATCATCTATTCTTAGCAAGAACAAAAATTACGAACATAATCAGACTGAAATGAAACTATGTTTCATCTAATCGTACTGTACTTGACCGGTGAGAAGAAGGAAACTTACTTTGAACGAATTGGGTAGGGGTGGAAAGAGCTAGAAGTGTAAAAAGCCAACTGGGGTAACCAGTGTATTTCTTTGAGGCTAAATAGACATTTAAAAATGAAAGTTACCCTTTCAGCAAGAACTCCTCCAGTAACAAGATTAGCAGCAAATTCTCATTTCACAATAATTTTCCAAAACAATACACATTGTTTCAAAATGTGTTTCTTTTTTAGCTGTTCAGGAGGTACTCTACCTTTCACTCAAAAAAGCAAGCAAAATACTGCTGTTTTCACGAATACTTGTGCAAAGCTCTGTATTAGCAAGATATGCTTTATGTACTCTTAGGCATGCAGGTATTAAATTCTATGTTAAGTCCACTGGATTTTTAATTAATCTGGAAATGAGATTACTTAAGTAATTTGAAGCTCTAGGATAACTTTAAAAAAATGAAAATTTATCATTTATCATTAAAAATGCAGACAGTTAACAAAAAAATCCAGAGTATATCTACAATTCCACTAAGAGGAAACAAGAAGTAGATACTGCAGGCTTTTCGCACACTCACAAACCTCAAGATAAAAGCAGTAGCTGGTAAAGGATGTTTATGCAAGAGACACATCAACAACCACAGAAATACAGAAAATTACTGGTTCCTATCATTACTTTACACTCATAAGTGATTACAGTGTGAAGAGTTTCTATTACAGATAAAGTATTATGAAGCTCTGTGTAAAGTCTTCATATATTGAGAATCATTACAACTGTGTAGAAACTAAGGCTTCATTGTGAAAAAATCCACATGGAGGTACAACTGCACTACTTGCTGCTACCAGACCCTCTACAGAAAATATATGCAGAATTTACACCTGGTGGAATACATCAAAAGTATTTTAATACTTTTCCCTAACTTCTACAGATCTGGTAAGTTTTGTATAAAATTGTTCAGTTTTTAATAAGATTATTTTCAATTTATTATTTTATTAAAGTACTTAATAATCCTTTTTCCTACAAGTCTTATGGTTGAGGACTGTGTGATTTTGAGATATAAAACTTTTCCTTTCATAGCCTCCCCCCCCACCTGCTTTTAATTTGTGTTTTTTCTGTCAATTTGTCTCAAATTAATTCCCCTAAATTCTAAATTTCTCATCCACCTTTTCTAGACAAAAATCAGATGATAGCAGAGTGATGTTTGGGTTTGCTTTTTCCTTTTTTTTTTTTAAATAAGCTGTAAGTGATCGAAAAGGGTGGGCTTCCTTACCCCATAATGCTAGAGATTCTTTCCTTGTGATATACAACCTACAACAAGTAGTTCTCACCCAGCTCTGATTCAGCTGAAGTATATTAGCTGAAACACAAGTAGGCAAATAAAAAGTGCACCTGGGACAATGGTAATATACAGATGTTAGAGGCAAAAAGCAGGTGTGGACCCCTCAGGCAAGAGGCACAACACTTGGTGAGTGAAAGCTCTGTCTTTATTGAAAGCCTAGTGTTACCCACAGTGGGAGCCCTGGGACACCCATGCTAATCAAAATGGGGACCCAATGCAGTAGAGCCCTGCTCGGGGTGAGGCTCAAAGGAAACCACTGTGGGGGCAGATAATAAAACTTTCGCTGATTAACATATCAAACACATGCAATGGCCTGTTTTTGCTCATTGGTGAACTTGCTGATGTACTGCAGGTGCTGTTGTCTAAATTCCAAGATCTGCCGTCATGCTGGTGTCCGTGCAAAGGTGGGGGCAGGTGAAGGGGGAAGCGAACTACCCTGGGTTAACTGTGACAACGAGATAAAACATGCTTGGGACATTACATACTCAGATGGAAGGAAAGGAACTATCCTCAGTTACCATAACAAAGGTCTTCTCACGCCCTACAACAAGGTCTTCAAATTATAATCTTGGTCAGCATATGCCAGCACTGTGAGAAAACTGTCCTTTTTGTATCTCTGATAGTGAATATGCTCCTCATTAAATAAGTCTTTCTAGACAGTGCAGGTGAAGGCTAGCATCTAACAAAGGCCAACTACCCCAGTTGGTCACTGCCTCAGCTAGAGGTCACTTGAGTTCACAGTAACCACAAGCTGCCTCACTGTGTAAGGAGTTAGGAGAAAAAAACCAGAACCCTCAGTATTGTTCTACAAAGGGACTGATCCCACCTTACAGACCAGACACAACCTAACGTTTACATATGCTGTAGGAATGGCATTATTAATTTTACTTTTAAAATTTTTTGTAGTCACTTCTGTACTGTTAAACCATATGTTCTACTGCAGAGTTGTAACGAGAGAGCTAAATAAGAATAGTAGTACATTAAGAGGTAAGTAACACTTAAGCTTTTTAAGCATCCCTCCTTCAACTCTGGATTGATTTGCATATACATAGCTGATTTAGCTAATACCTCAGCTAAAATAATAGCTTAAATTATTCTCCCAGTCTCAAATGATTGAATTAATTCCCATCCCTCAAATGTTAGAATATTTTTAAATACAGTTATTCAGATTAGAAATTATTAACTAAAAGCAATTCTTGAAATGTGTAACTACAGATATTTTTCCTGAAGAACATCTCAAAGTATTAACTCTACCCAAAATATGGTTCTGAGCAATCTCTACTGGTATTATATAATTTTCTTTAGAGTAACAGATTTGATCGTATGAAGCGTGTGCATTCTTTCTCAGCCTCCAGATTCTTCATAACCTAAAATATTAACAACTTCCAGAATGCAAAATGCACTGAGAACAAGAAGTGAAGATGTCATTGGAGGAACTGATTGCTTTCAAAGTGGATCAGGCAATTTCTGAGTGAGCTGAGACTATTCTCTGTGAAGGCTTTTGTCATTGGTCTCTGAGAATACCTTCAAGTAGCGTGTAACATTACATTTCACAGCAGAAGTTCACAGCCTCTGCTGTTTTTGACTTTGATGATATCTTGCAGGTCACTGCGGAAATACCACGGTGCAGTCAAATAATCTGATGAATGGGGGACACTAAAAGTGGGAATTGCATTCATTAGTTCTTGTTAGCACCAGCGGATCTTCAGAAAGACTACTGTTTTACAGGATCCTAGAGTCTCTGTCCGTGGTGAGGCAGAAGACAACTCAGCTTTATAAATGTATTTCTTTCTTATAGCATAATGAAAGCAATACAGGACATATACACATGAACTGAAACCTGAACTTACTAAAAAAGTTGTTTTAGCTTGTTCTAAAAGGGCTTTCTCCTATCTTGTTTTCATTAATTTTTATATTTGAGATTTGTTTAACCTATTCTTCCATTGTTTAAAAATGAAGATGGGAGAACAGTGGGTTAGGTTTTATAACATGAGGCTACCAGACTATTGAAACAAGTGAAAATAATTTTAACTTACAGTTTTAGTTTCTGTGAAGATTTAAGAGAAAACATCTGGGAAATGCTTAGGAAAAAATCCCATAGTTAAAAGATGATGTATTTAGTTGAAAGAATATAAAGGCCACAGTTAAACACAGACATGCCACACTTCTGTGAAGAACAAACACAAATGTCTCAAACCCCAGGCTTCTCTCAGTGAGAAGGAAACTTGACACTCCTTCTCCTTCCAAAAGAGCATGTACGAACTGTCTGCAACCACTGTCCTTCGTGGGAAGCCTTCCACGAAAAATTTAATCGTATTGTAATAGTGACATTAAACCACACTCTTAAGCAAATGAAACTGCAGCATGCACCTTACTAGTCAGTGACTTCACTACAAACTCTAGCAGCTGCTATGAAGAGCTGCATACCCATTGCTCTCTCTTTTTGAGGTCTGTGATTTTACCAAAGGGATACTAGTATACCCTGGTGCTTAAATGTTTTATCTTCATATTAACTATAAAGCACTCTCACTTCACTGTAACATTTGCACTGACCGGCAAGCACTTAGTTTACCTAAATGCATCCAGACCATGTATTTTCAGGTGTTTAGTATTTCTGAGAAAGAAAGTTTATGAGGAAGTTTCTACAAATGCTTATTATGACTTTTATAATTGACATGATTTTATTCTAGTATTTATAAAACAGGAGTGTGGAAAAAGGTAGAGGAGATATTTTTATTTAAAGATCACTATGATTAAAGGAAAGCAAAGAAGGATTTTATAAAACAAGTTTTAGGATAGTTTACCTGCTTCTTAATTCCATAATCATCACATGCTTCAGCTTTCATTTTTTCAATCTTTTCTTCTTGCTGTTTTGCTTCTTTTTCATACATAACTTTTTCTTTTGCCAATCTGCAATTAAACCAAGTGATTGTGTTAATCTTGTTCTATTACAGTAAAAAGTTACACCATTGATAACATCACCCCCAAAAGCTGCAGCCCTATAAGATAATACAGTTTTATAAAAAAAAGGGTTTTAACCACTGCAAAAAACTGCATCTAAGAACTGCTGAATTTAGCTATAATGTATAATGATTCTTATAATTTAAATTAAAAATATTTTTAAAGTTTCTATGTGGACTTGTCCATATAGATTATCCTAAAAGAGCTATATATTGGTACTTCATTTCAAATACATAACAGAAACAGATAAGCTGCCTTGTAGATATGGATGACTGCTAGTAAAGGCAGAGAAGAAAGCTGTCTATCTCAGAAAAGCCCTCACATCATAGGTAGCCAAACCAAACAATATTAAGAGGTATGCATAGACAACACTCTCATCAGTGGCTTTTAGATCAGCATTTGCCAGACTTTCTCAACATCATCCAGGTTCTGATAGTTTTGCAAGTGACCTATATTGGCTGTTATAGTCATGTGGTCTTTCCTCTTTCCTATTCACTAACTAACACCACTGCACCTGCATTATTAGATGAATAATGACAGACATCCTTCTTAGTAGTCAATTTGAAAAAAGTTAGCACACGTGAATGAAAAGAAACAGCACTTTCAGCTTCACAAACTGTGATCCCAAAACATGTTGCTTCCTGATCACTACATTTCATGCCAGGAAATGCATTATTTCCCATACTAGTTTTCATACAAAATAATGAAAAGTAAGATTCCCAAATTACACAGTAGCTTCATAGCCTTTTGTTCGTTTGAGTATTTTCACCACCATTTACCTTGATGCTGGTTTAGGGGCTATAGACAAAAGTAACAGTTCCATAAATTTACATTATAGCAATTTTCTTTATGGCCTATCTTTCAAATGGAAAAGAATCCATCTTTTAATCCTAATAATAGACCCATACTTGGGGGCAGGATGCTTTTTGCTAACAAGCATAGATTCAAGAGTAATGTGAAAAATTTTGAAAGTCTGAAGGGAATATTAAGGTAGTCTAGTCTGATGCCCTACAGTAATTCTTACATTGCAATTCCGTTATCAAACTTCATTATTTGTCATTACTGTAATTTTGCTGTTGCATCTCCCACTTCATTACATACGTTCATTAGGTATATGTTGGATTACATAATTCTAGATCTGAACCTAAACACCCTTCAGGATCTGGAGAACAACAAAGTAATTTCTGATCAGCTAACTCAGGACCAAAACAAGTACTGAGATGCTACCGCAAACCTGACGGCATGCCAAAGAAAACCCTTCCCCTAACAAAAATAAGCATCAGATCAGCCTATATGAGATTGTTTAAGGAGAACCAAACAGCCAAAAGAATGTAATTGTATCCAAGCAGCAAAGAATATATTATATAAATGAAAAGAGAATAAATAAAGGTCTAGCAGAGAGCTTCATGGTCACGTTAGCGCATCAGAGCAAATTAATTCCTAATTTGTCACAGTTGAGTACCCTACTAGAAGTGCTGCTGAGAATGTACAGAATGGTACTGGGGTGACAAGAACCTTCTTTGAACTGAAGCAGCTACAAAAGCACCACCACAGTAATAGAGAAAAATTCCAGAGTATTATACTGATACTGCAACTGCAGGAACTCTTCCTACTTTTATTAGAGTTTACATAATCCAGAAATTGTTTTGCTAAGATAGCCTTAAGCTGTGGCTCCACAACAGCTGATGTAAGTTGGGCTGTGGCAACATGCACCTGAACTCATTTCAAGCCTTGTAGAGGCACCCCATCAGAGAGGGCCTTCAGCTTTTTATAAAGAAGATTTAACAGCATGTAGAGTATGTACCATAGGTATTTTCTAGGCCAGTTTCTACAAGTCAGCCAAGTACTAGCTTTGAGAAGTAGTACTGGGGAAAGACAGCAGTCTAATTACAATAATAAAGACACTAAATCAGTGGCTGTAATTCCAACTACTGGAACTAGCTCCAGTATTAGCATCAGCAAATATTGATTTAGTAGAGGATGTGTTAATTGTTTGATCAAGGTTACTTGATTTAATTCCAGACAGTATTATTTGCTTTGCTATTTTTAGGTTCCAAAAAAGTTAATTTTAATCAACCTGTGAGACAGATGATGTTTTTTTGAATGGGAACACAAATTACCCTGAGGAGCAGACAGAGATATGATTAAAGGCAGTTTTTACGTTGATTCACTTACTGAAGTGTGTATGCCATTGAAAATAAAGGCAACTTGCATGACTAAACCCGGCACTTTTAATTATTTTAATTTTTAGCTAAAACAAAAGGCACGCTGTTTGTCATTACTTATGTTTTCACATTCACATCTCCCTTTATGCACACTAACTTTTCAAACTGACTGCTATTCAAGTTTGCCTACTTTTATCAAACAGAAAAGGACTGCATATTCCGGCCTAGTTTAGAACTAAATGTAACTTGATTTTTTTGGCCACCTTTCTCGTATCTGGATATGTAAGAATTGAACATGTATTTATCTACCTATTTCTATTTCTGTAGTAATTGTACATTTCAGAAGCAGAACTTGAAACATTCTACTTTAAAAAAGGAAACACATGAAACCTGAAATATGAGACTGTATTCTGTGACAAATTTTCCAGCATAATTTTTTCAGTAATCAGAATTGTCCAATTTAACATTCCATTTATCATTCATAGGATTGGGATGCTGACGTTTACTGCTATTAAGAAGTTTTGATTTGAAAACATTTCCTGTACTAGATTCTTCCTCTAGATGTCATGAAGCCATTTCTACTGAATATGTAGCTTGGGGAGATGACAAATTAAATCAATAGCTTGCTTTCACTTTCAAAAGAAAAGTGAATTTCATAATAGAGCAATACTACTCCTTAACCACCTCTTAAAAATTTCATCAGAATTCTACACAAACCTACCCAGATGATACTTTGTTCCTCTCTTCTTCCTTCACCCGTTGTCTATCTAGAAATAAGATGGGGGGGGGGGGGGGTGTGTGCGATGGTTGGGTTTTGTTTGTTTGTTTGTTTTGGGTTTGTTCTGTTTTTGTTTTCCAAAGAGATTAAAACAGATACTAAACCAGAATCTTTATATATGTGTGCTCATACACAGTGAACAGAGTAAGAATAGCTCAGTAGGTACAAGAAAAAATTAGACCATAATTTGTGGCATTTCAAGTACACAGGTCATTTATAGATGAGAAAATCTGCAACCATAAAAACCACTACAGGCATAACTTTAAGCAGACATTCTATAGTGTCGTAAGAAATATAAGCTACAGCAACTTTAACTTTTAACTGGAAGAACACAAAATAAAAAAAAAAAGGAACCAGTGTAGATTACTTCTTATGATAGCTATACTTATGTACTACACATATATATGTAGTATGTATATTACACATATTCATTTGTATATGTGTAATAAGCCTTTATTTTACAATAGACAGTTCCTTAAAATATCCTTTTGTTTTTAAACAATCTGTCACCTGGTACCCATCTGAAATCCTATGGTTAGCCTTATTTCAGCTATACAATATCCTGCATACTGTAATAGCTCTGCAAATAAACCAAACATTTATCACCAAAACAAAAAAATAATTGGCATACTTTACAACAAGTATCCTCTCAGCTACCTTAAAATGCTACTACATTTTTCAAATTCTGAAGTGTAACTATGACATATGATAAGTAAGTGGAAATTAAGTCACCAGATATATTGCCTTCAATATAAAACAGAACTTTAGTTGAAACAAGTGATTTAAAGTGTGATACACAAAAAAATACAAAGGACGGTTACAATTAAGCAATAATAGCATACCTGTGACTGAGTACTCTGTATTACTGAATAAATGCATTAATTTTGATATACAAGTTCAGAGTGAATATTTCATTCAGAAAAGTCTCTACAAAGCTCAATAGAACATATTATAGTGCAAAGGTCAGCACTGAACTGATCTCAAAAGTAACTACAGCATTGCTTTGACACTTCAAAAAATTCCCTGTTGTCTCCCCTCAAACTCAAAAGGGTAGGATATGACATTCATTCTTTGCAATGTATCACTTGGATAGACCCGGATATTGAGATGTACTTTATACAGATGAAAACAGAAATAAGACTTCATGTAGTTGAACACAAGGTTACCTTTAGCTTTTTAACTTGAAATATTTTACAGAAGCCTGACATTGTGTGTGTACATTTCTTGAATTCTTGGAAGAGATTTTTACGTCATGTGTCACAGTCACTGAATGAGCCAAGAATTTTTCCATACTCATTTGCTGTGTACAAAGTTTGTTTGTAGAAAAATATAAAGCCTTGACAGAGTAATGGATAGAAGTACCAAAACAAATATTTATTTTGCTCTTTCACTGTGTCCCCAACCCTCTGACCCAATACCATTTTTATCACATAAACTGGTTTGTCAATGATATCCAGTTAGTCAAAGAAGAGGTTATTACCTGAGACTTGGCTCTGCCTTTTCTATTTGTAGAAGGGTGATGTCAAATATGCTCCAATTTCTGTTTCCATGCGTGTGACAGCTCTAAAGTACAGCCAGTTTTATTTTTATACCAACACTATAAATCCAGCCATTTGCAATCCA